ATCCATCAAACTCACAAACAGAACAAAGAGCAAAATTTCCAATATTCGCACACGCAGCCATGCAATCAAAACTAAAACTTATCCTCCAAGTAGAAAACTAGAACAAACTGAATCAGAAATCAAAACTTCATCCTCCCAGCCTGAACCCTCGGCAACCTAACCAAAACCCAACAACAGCTCGGCCAATCACCCCCCCCCCCCCCCCAAACCGGTTACAAACAAACCCAAACAAACATATACACACCGCCCCAACGCCGGAAAATGCAATAAATACAAAACACGAAAAAAAATGAGGAAAACGAAACAAAAAAGGGGGAGTCGGAATACCTAGATGAGAACCAGAAGAACCGCCCTTTTGACGCTTAGGATACTAACAGGACGCCAGAGATAGAACGGCAACGAGCTCGTCGAAAACGGAGGAATCTACCCTTGCGTGGCCGGATTGAGACGAGACCGAGTCCAAAGCAACTGAGGCGAATGCAAAGAGTGATAAAAACCTTGAAAAGGGTTGCGTGGCCGGAAGGAGAAGTGACCGGAGGGGAAGACAACTGAGCGGACGGCGGACGCACAGTGAAAGAAAGAAATCATGTAAAGAGATTTTACAATCAACAACACGCAGCAAAGGTCCGTCTCTCACGGCGGAAATAATTAATGTGCGAAATAAAGATGGTGCCAAAAGACACCAATGCCCCTAACTTCAACTAAACCAGCGCACAAAGTATATTAAAATACTAACAAATCAGAAGCGTTGAAATACTAAAATAAACAATCAGGATCTAGCCTCACGATCTCACCCGTCTAAGGGGACCTCACCGGATCCAAAATCTAGGGAATATATATAGTATATACATCATTATCCTACCGGCAAACAATAGAACCAATGAATATAGAAAGAAAGTTGCCACAGGTATCCTCATACCTATCAGAGTCCTGACCGACCGTTGTAATGGTCTTCATTATCAGCAGCATCATCAATATCTCTGGTTCTCTCCTCCTCTCACTTCTATCCCTGTGGTGGCGATCATGATCCTTCCCTCGACCCCTATCCTTTTCTCTATCTCTATCTTTATAACGCCCTCTCTCTCTTTCCTTGTCCCTGCTTCTAGAAGATTCTTTTTCATCCTCATAATCACTATGCTGAAGAGTACAACAATGGAAGCTTAAGCAAAAAAGGAAGTTGTATAGAGACAAATAATACAGATCTTCAAAGCAAGGAAGCAGGACGTAGTTTTCATAAACAAACATAAAAAAAAAAAATAGTATTTTGCCATCAAATAGAGGAATTCACTTTATATAGTTTCAATAACAATCCCTTCGAATAGAGGAATTCACTTTATACAGTTTCAATAACAATCCCTGCAAAGTAATTCAAGTATAACAAATAGTATTTTGAGAGTAACATCAAGCAAAGAACAAAATTGACACATCTCGTTGAAATTGGTAATATTTAACTAATTCATCAAAATACGCTTGATACAATAAACAAAATATCAACTATGCCAAGGCATAAGACCTATATATTTAAAGATACTTAAAAGTAGTTAAAATTTGCACTTGTGCCTAGGAAATCTGGTTTATACAGGATTTTTAAAAAAAATTTAGGTATGTGCAGTGGAAATCCTTTTTTTACAGTTGTGGCTTTGTGGATACAATTTTTTCTTTAGCATAATTGATGATAAAAAAACACTGTACAAGCACTCCAGTAGCAAGCATCAAAGATGAAGTAGAACCAAAGTCCTTACAAGAAAATGCATCTTTGGTACCCTTTATATAAGTTTTTAGTAGCCAGTACTCTTGTATGCTCACTAAATGAATAGGTTGTTCACTAGAATTGGATTAAATTTTAACATGCAACAAACGTTTGTTCTTAATATTGTTTTTTTTTTTTTCCAAGAATTGGTTTCTTCCTCACTGTCAACCACCTCAAGCGTTTGTACTAATTGTTTTTTTTTTTCAAACGTTTGTACTAATTGTTTTTTTTTTTCAAACGTTTGTACTAATTATCGGAAACTAAGCAATTACATGTTGAAGCTATGGAGAGGAAGAGAGAATGGGAAAAATGCAGTGAGTTGTATTGAGTGTTGAGTACAATATAAAGAGAGAGGGAGAGACGGTTACAAGAGGGAAGAAAAGGAAAAAAAGATATTTTTTTTTATCTTTTTTTATCCTCCAACACTAATTGTTTTTAAAACTCTTCTGTTTACTGCAGTTCATCTTATCACACTTTAAAGGGATGCTTTCCAACTAGCACACACTTCATATATGTGTGAAATCTACAAAATAGGCTTCCAAAATGGACTAGAATCTGTAGTTTGTATTATCATTGAGATACAATTTTTTATTTTGTTTAAAATATGGTTTTGTTTTGTTTTTTGCATGTTTTTGTTTTTGTTTTTGTTTTTTATTATTATTATTTTTTTTTGGTAATTGCATTCTTAATCATGATCCTTACCTATCAGAATGAGAGAAAAAACCATTGAGCTAGAATGCCATCAATACTCCTGTGTTAATATTACTAATGGTTTGTAAATAAATGTATGTTATTTTGGTTATGCAATTTGATTGGTAAAACTCGAGCTCAATTTCAAGCTCGAAGCCGAGCTCAAAATTTTTACCTCAATTCGAGCAAATAGAGTCGAGTTTTGACTCGAGCTCGAGCTTGAGCTTGATCTTCAATTTTAAGACTCGATTGAGCTTGAGTCACTATATTTTTATTGAGCTTGAGTTTGGCTTTGCTCGTTTGCAACTCTAGTTTGGTACTAAATTCTCCTCTTCCACGATCTCTACTAGATCCTCCACTTATATTTGATTATAGCTAGTCATGTTAAGGGTTACTTGACTGCTAGTAGCTCCAACTTTGATGTAATCTTGTCAGATTTTCTATCATACCTTTTTTTTTTGCTCTATAATTGATAAGAGTCCGATATTCACTAGTACAGATATGCACATCCGCTACCCTTGTAAAGAGTCATCCGCTACCCTTGTACAAGGGTAGCAGATGTGGGGAACGCTGAAAGTCGTGAGCTTTCCGCTACCCTTTTACAAGAGTAGCGGAAAGTTGAGCATCTGCTACCCTTTTTAACATAGAAAGGTAGCGGATTCTTTTATTTTATTTTATTTTTCAAGCATCTGCTACCCTTCTTTAAACAGAAGGGTAGTGAATACTATTAATTTATTATTATTATTATTATTATTATTATTATTATTATTATTATTATTTAAAGCATCCGCTACCCTTTTTTTGTAAGAAGGGTAGCGCGACGAATTGTTTATTTAAAAAAAATTATTTTTATTTTTAAATTTCTCAATTTCTTAAAAAATCATGTACAAAATTCATACACTACATATCAAGATAATACTAACCATCAATACAATATTATCAACAAACTATCAAAACACAATATTATCAACACAGAACACACTACATATTAACACAATATTATCAACACACTTTTAACCAAATACTATCAATATAACCTTTATATCAATCCAATACTTTCAACATAATAATCAGTTATCAACACAAGATAATATTTAATTTAAAACAAAAGTTACATGCACTCTTCCAAAAAGTATTTTGCCCACAAATCTCGAATCTCATCAATTTCGTTGGTAGAGTATGAATTTCCTTCAAATGCCTACAAAATAATTTAGTTAATCAAATTACTAAATATGTTAATAAAATATAATTCAACTATACATAATTCTATTTAAATTCACTTACCTCATCTAAATATGATTAGCATGCTACATTCATCACATAGATCATAAATCAATACAGAACTAAAATTTAACAAAATGGGGGTGTCAATTCCTGTTAGTAACCTATTAACCACTCAATTAAAGTATAAGGTCCAATAAAGCATAATTTTTAAGAGGCATACAATTAACTTCAAAGAAAAACATGTATATACTGAACATTCTACAAATGCAAAAAGCAGAAATGATAAGCTCAACTAACATCTTTCACACCAAAGAATTTCAAAACATGGCACCATAGATGAATTTCTCACTATTAGAAACTTATGCATGTCAAATTTCACAGAAAGTTGAAGGTACTTTGAGTATCCAGTTGATAGCTACAAAACTCTGGGTAGCTATGTTTTTGGATACTCCAACTGAACCTAAGAGTTTTTGTGTTGTAAAAACACTCATTGCTCCTCCACAAAAGTATTGCAACAGAAACATCAAACATAATATTTGAATGATTAAAAGAAGCACCTCAATAAATGTTAAAAGCATGCTACTGGTAATTATGTTGAATTGTAGTCCTCATGTAATATACCTTTAAGCCCTCTAACTCATGTATGGCACATAAGAAGGCATAACACTATCCGGGAACCCTTAGCTTCCAAGCACTATCATTAAATCCAAACACGTACTGAATTTTGAAATTTTGGCTTTACAACACTGTTCTGTGCATGAGTCCCTAATAAGCATGGTGAATTCAGCAACTAATCATCAAATGAAAGTTGAAAATGACAAAAGAATCATGATGTTGATGGGATAAAATACGTTACCATCAGCTAGCATCTGATCAAAGCTTTCTTTCTTGGAAGGAGAGAAATTCTAAAGAATTATAACATAGACAAATTAATTTCTTCAATAAAATGCAAGACATCACTTCCACTTTCAGCACTATTAATGAGAATATATTATGTATAAGCATGTATAAAATGACTATCAATTAGAGGAGGTAAAGAATAAATTTTAGAATGAATTTTACAGAAAAATTGACATCAAAGCCACTTCAAAACACCTTTGGGTAGCAGCATCATATCCTGAGCCAGAATCTGCTTTTGTATTGCCTCTAGCGTTGTCATTGGAACGATCCACAGGCAAAAATCATGTCTGAGACTTGAGAAATTTAGTAGAGACTAACTTACCCTCGAGCCGGTCTGCTCACGCCGTCCCTGATATAGAAAAACATGTAGAAAATCAAAAAACACTCCGACGTACCTGGGGTCACTGCTGACAGTGTTCCTCGCTAAAGCTCTCCCCCTGTCTCGCGTTCGCCGCTGATGGTGTCAAAATAAATCTAATTCATCAAAACACCTAACCCATCAAATAAAAAATATTATGGAATACCTTTATCATTCTAGAACAATTTAGTCTCACCAATAAAACACCCGTATATATAGCAAAAGGAAGGCATTTTTTTAATCAATCTAGACATATTTAATGGTGGCAAGCCAACAAACAATTGTATGAATAAATCCATAGTCCGGTAGCCCTTGGCAGTAGAAGAGATTCTTCCAAATGCAATCTAGATGACAAACATCAAGACTACATCTATTAGATTTGTAAAAAATGTCAAGCCAATGATAAGATAGAATTGCAGGACAGAGAAACTAGAAGGTCCGGAAGGATACTTCAAGAGATTCAAAACCTAATTTTTCTCAGTCTATTTAAAAATTTAAACAAAATAGTTCCAACAAATATATTGGGTAATTTTACGAGTGACCTTTATTATAGCCTCAAACAGAATTCAGCTTTCAAAAACAAGTAGGCTTCACACTGAAATTGCTTCAAAAGAAACAAAGACAAGTTACCTGAATGTCACAGTCCTTTGAAGTCCTCAAAATGTCATAGATGAGACCCTTCTGATCAATGCACTGTATTTGAAGCAATATATGAGTTGGGCTCAGAAAATTATCCACTGTGACAACGACCCTCTTAACTTTTCTTGCATCTGAGGACTCCTTCTCAGACAATTCACATTTAAACAATTCATCAGCAACTGGTTGAGGAAGAGAAGTGAATGCCTGCTGACCTTCATATTCAGGCCCTGCCAACTGAAGCTCACAACTGATGCAATACTCTCCTAATATTTTTCTTAGATGTTCACATGTGTCATCACGTCGTTGCTTTGTGTGTAATAAGTACCTGATAATGTATAAAAAGAGAAGCATAGTTTTCTGTAGAAAGAACTTTTACTGATGCATAAGAGACAGTTTTCTGTAGACAGTTCGAATCTCGTGAAACAAGTGCAATCCCTAAAAAATTGATTAGCTAAATCAAACTACTAGAAGTTAGAAATGTAAATTGAGATCCATAGCATTAACCATGTCCAAGTTCTTATCAATCAGAAAGGTTATTTTCCATAGAAAAGACAAAACTGAGAATGCAGACAGGAGGTTTTTTTAACAAGCCGACAAGATTTACAATACTCAATATACTATGAATATTCATTATGTTTCTTCTTCTCAAATTCCATTTAAAATCTGCACCTAAGAATGCAATCAGTCTACACAAAAAAAAAAACATGATTGCTTAATTAATTGTTTGCCAAAACTATGTACACCCCAATATTAATGCTAAGACTTCACCACATAACTGGCTCTAGGGATCCATTGACACTGGAAACATAGACTCACCCAAGTTAAATTTGTTTTCAAACACTTCATACAAAATTTCATGTCAAGCAACTGCAGGAAGAACATGCTCTCACATCCAATGGGAAGAAATGGTAAGGAATGCAGAGTATCATTAACCAATCAAATAAAAGGATCCATAAACATACTAAACTCCAAACTAACAACTTACAACCATTTGATGACCACATCTTTACCAATACAGAAAAATGAGGGCATATAATTCCTCTCAAATGGAAAACAGAACTCACATTGGAGCATGGAATTCTAACAAGTAGAAACCAGAAAGTTCTTCAAGACAAAAATATTTAATGTAACATGCAAACATAAATACTATGTGAAACGGATGCAAAATATAAATATTGTGTGAACCTCATAGATATGTGATACCTGGGCTGCTGGAATATACTGCCAAACCAGCTGATAAATCGGCATCATCATTAACCCCTTTTAGTTAGTATAGGTTAACTTATTGAAGATGTACATTAAATTATATTGATTACAGCAATACTACAGTTCAACAAAGTCTTAAAAGCCTTCATCAGCAATACTACAGTTCAACAAAGTCTTAAAAGCCTTCATCAACAATACTACAGTTCAACAAACTCTTAAAACACTGCTCTTTAACAGTTTAATGTTCAACCTAAGGGTTGGGGTTCAACCTTTTGGAAGAACTTTCAATTTATTACCTTAGCCCATTATAAAAATTAACAAATATAATATTTATTAAAATCATAATTATAAGAAATAATTTTAACCAAAAAAAAAAAAAAAACTGCACGGCTTCAGTTCGGCAGATCGGAGCACCTGGCGGTGGTGGAAGTCGTAGAACGGTGGAACTTGCGGTTGGCTTCAGTTTGGAGCCGCTGAGAACGGTGGAACTCGCGGTGGCGGTGGAGACGGCGGATGAGGGAGTCCTTAACTTAGTGTCGACGGCGTCGTGGGAGGATGAGGGAGATGGTGTCGACGGCGGAGGTGTGGTGAGGGCGACAATGGAGGTTTGGTGAGGGCAACGACGGAGGTCTGTGGTGAGAGGAGTTGAGGAGAGGTGAGTTACGTTGGCTGAGAGGTGAGATTTGAGAGGTGTGAGAGCGAGGGTTTAATTTTAATTTTAATTTTGATTTTTATTTTTTTTTCAGATCTGGGTTTCCCCTCTGCCCTTTCTACGAGCAAAGGTAGCGGAAAGTACATCCGCACTTTTTTTAAAAAACAACCGCTACCTTTTTTTCTAGAAGGGTAGAGGTTTCTTGTTCATTTATTTACAATTATGCCACCGCCCTCATTTTTTAAAACAATACACTACCCTTGTTTAAAGAAAGGTAGACTAAAGTCATATTTCTTTGGTCCATTTTGTACTAGTGATTGTGTGTGTTAGTGAACCCACCACATGATCATAATTTATTGGCATAGTTCAAAGAATATTTTTCAATCAGTGTACCATCTTCAGTGGTGTCTCCAAATAACCTTATCTTATTCACCAAATCAATAACACGAGTGAAATACATATCTATTATTTTTGTAGAAATTATCTCACATCGATCATATAATCTTCTTAACGACTGCAACTTAAACTTCTATGCTCTAGCACTAGTTAACTAACTGCAAAAAAATAAGAAATAAAAAATAAAACAAAATAAAGTAATTAACACCTTGGTGAATCTATCCCAAGACTAATTGATCTTGTCGTATAGTGGCTACATCAACTCTATCTGGTAGATCGGGCAACAAAGCTTCAAAGATTTTGAGCTTTCAAATGTGATAATTTGCCAATAAATTGCCTTTGCCAAAGTTATTCCATTCCTCACGCACTCATATCTAGATGTTTATGTTTTGACTTAGTTTACTATTATGACGGTATGAAGCTTTAGCCAGGTTAATCTTTTTCTTTTGTAGTTGCCACTTTGGGGTTATGATTAACCTATCATTTGCATCTTTGTAAACATTCACGGTAAAGAGTTAGCTTCTTGAAATGCAAGTCGACATTTTTTGGTATTTGAAATTTTAGATTTCACTGTGATCTATGATGCATATCTTAATATCTATTTCTTGCTTTCTTTTATACATGTGATTGCAAGTCATTTGATGTGTCGAACGTCCCCATCCATACCCTTGTCCGGTTTCGTGCCAACTTTATCTCCATCCCCCATTTTCCTCAATGTTTCTGCCTCACTCCCTGGAACAGCTTCCCGGTGAAGACGCGCGAAGCAAGACTTGTTCGGTCGTTCATCCCCCCTGTCTATTTCATCGGCTGAGTTGTGCTTGCTAAGCTTCAAATCACTGAACCCCTTTGAACATTTCCCTTAAGAGCAGCCTCATTAGTGAGCTTTGTTTTACCAGTTTTTTTTTGTGAATTCTACCATCCTCCTCATCATCTACTATCCCATTTAATTCTAAAAACTATTCTCCCAATTAGTTTTAGTTTTTTTTTTCTAAATTTTTTGTAGACCACTTTACTCCATTACATTTTAATTATTTTAGATAAATTAAACATACCCATAATTAATTGAAATGATAGTTATAAAATTAAAACTAAACTACTCATTGTTTAAAAATTAAAACCAATTACTTAAAAATTAAACTACAAAGATGACTTGGGCAATTTATACCATGCACCCCGCTATATGACTCTATGTGCGCCCAGCTGCAATACGACGTCGTTTGACATTGGTAAGTAACGGTTTTTTTTTTATTGCTCCGTTTCCGTCGTCAAGTTTTTTTTTTTTTAAAGGAAAGTAAGTGTGTGAAACCCCGAAATCCAAATTCAATTAAGGGATTAATTGAGTAATTAATCCTAGTTTAATTTGTAATTTAATTCCTTAAATTCCTGAAATTTAATAGTTGGGGACTAGTCAACCTCAAAGTCAAAGTTGTACCTTGAGCTTTGTAAGGAGTTCCCTTGTTCCTTACACTTCCTTATGTTAGTAAGGGTATTCTTGACCTTTCACTTGTTGTTGGTAATGTAACCTAACCTAGTAAGACCGCCTTCATTCTCTCCTTACACTTTTCTAAAAATCTAGCTCCACCCTCTCTCTAAAAGGTGAGTAGCTTTTCTTCCAAGCCAAGTTGGAACCTTGCCAAAACTTCAAGAGTTGCTTCCAAGATTCAACCTTTCTTATATTTGGGCATCTAGGAGGGTAAGATCTAAGTTCATCTTGTGTTTTTGGTTTTATCTAAGGTGTCTTTTCTTAAAGATAGGATCTTTATGATCTTTTGGTTTGTTCTTGAAGTGGGTTTGAAAGGTGAGCCTTGTGAGGAGCTTGTTGAGGTGTAAAGTGAAGTCTTTAGTCTACAAGAGGTAACTCATGCTCTACAAAACCTATTTTGCTTACCTATATGTGATTTCTTGAATTCTACAGGTGTTTTGCTATGAAATGTAAGTGTTTATGCATTGTCTTGTGAAAATGCATATCTAGAGCTTGTGTTTAGGATTATTTTGTGCCATTGTTTGGCATTTCCTTTGATTCAAGTCATTTTGTTGTATTTGGTGAGATTTGGCATGTTTTGGATTTGAATTTGAGTTTGGAGATGAAAATCCGCGAAGTGTGTTGTGGTGATACAGGGATGTACCCGCGGGCGGAACGGCGGGTAGGCGTCCAATCCGCCGCCCACCCGCGGGGTACATTGGCCGGGCAGCCTGTAGGCCTACCCGTGGGCCCACCCGCGGGTACATATGTTGGTTGTGCGGGGATTTGTTCCCCGTGATTCTTTTGACTCGGTATTTGGTCTTTTAACTTCCCGATGTTCTTTTGTGGAACTATTTGAGTGTTTTCTTGATGTTTCGTATGTCTAGAACTATGTGGTAGGATTCCATGTAGGTTTTGGTGTCATGAATCGTGCTAAGTGTTCAACATTGTGTTTCGTTGAACCGTGATGAGTCTTCTGTGTTCTTCGGAACTATCTTTGGTTTACCCGTTTGATAAGCATGCTAGTTCGGTGTTTAAATGCTAGCGTGTGTGTTGTTTGTACCTTCTCATTGGTTGATGATAACTTGTGTTATTCATCGTTGTTGTTGTTGGGTTGTGACCCATTCCTTGATTGAGTATGGTTTCATATCTTCGTTGTGATCCGTTGATTGATTCCTGTTGAGGTGTGATGTGTGTGTGGCTTTACCTGGATTGCACGATTAGTGGTATGGGACACTAGTCACCAAGGTATTGCAGCGGTCCTCGCGGTGGTCGTGACGTGATTATGGAGTTTGTGACCTTTGTGTAAGGTTTACGTATTTTTTGGGAGGCATGTGTTGCCGTGTGTGTGTACGGTACCCTCGTGTATTATGAAATTGGTGGTCTCGTTGGCGATCGTTGGCGGATGGGGACGACGGTCCTCGAAGGGAAAAGGTTGGACTTGGTTGTACAGGGGTCCTGGAGGTAATGGTTGGAAGAAGATACAAGGTTGGGGGTAGCCATAAGGTTGGAACCGGGCATAAGGAAGGCATATCAACTCGTGATGGGTGATGTTACGAGGGCTTGTGTAGCCGTTGTTGTGTGTTCTCTTCTTGTGACGTGTGTAGTCAGAAGGGCATGTGTTGCCATCGGTCT